CCCCAAAACCCCAAAACCCCAAAACCCCAAAACCCCTCCATTCTACACTCACATTGAATCTCAAAAATCCCTCTTCCCCATCCCTTCCTTCTTAACCCTCCTTCTCAATCCTGACATCAGCTAAAGCTAATCCCTCATCTTACTGCCTAAACATCCCACTCTTAACTTACCGTATCTGACTCTGATAGCCTTGAAAGTCTTGTTTATCAGAACTATCTCTTTCACAGTTATTGTGCAGGAAGCCAGCCTTATTGTTCCAGTGATTTTGGAGCTGAGTAGTAGGATCGAAGGAAGATAGGCGGTTATTTTGGAGTAAGGGGATTCCAGGTTGAAGTCGAAGTAGTTGAGGTTGAGCGGGATTTTGGTGGTGAAGGTCGTGAAGTCGGCTATAAGAAGGGAGATTAGGGGTGATGATGCGGGGTTGTGTTGGAGAGATGAGAAGAGGGTGAATTTATAAAGGGAGTCATGGATATTTTGATTTGAAATGTTATTCAGAGAAATTCTTGCTTACCTTCGTCCACCAAATTTGCATCACGTATAGTGATTATCTTTAACTCTGATAACGCCGCCTGGTCTACTAGTCTGAATACTTTCTGATGTAATTCATTCTTCAGCAAGAACCATGCTCCCTTATCCTCCTTCATGTTGTCAACAAATTTGAGGCCTAAAGTAGAACAGAAGCTTACACTCAGGGTCTCTGCCCATCTCTTCCTGCAAAAGAGGATTCTTTGGTAACTTAGGCTTGGAAGGAAGCTATTTTTGGTAAGGGGCTGTGCTTACGTTAAACTTGGCCTCTTCAGAGGGTTCTACGGGGAAGGAGATTAGGCATTTAGGGCAGATCTGGGAAGGGGCTATTAAAAGCTCAGATATCTTGCTTACTTTTTGCCTTAAATTGTTCGTCTTCCTGGCACAGTTTCTTGTTCTCTTCCACAACCTTTTCAATAGCAAGTTCGTTGTTCTTAAACACCTCTTGAAATTTTTCATCCTCTCCGAAAGACTGTCCTGTTGTCATGGGCGATCTCTTTGAATTCATGATTTCACTATAGTTGTCAGTAGCTGGAGACCAAGATAGAACAAAAATATTTTGCATTTCTTTATGTGAAAATCCACTCGAATTACTTCTGTATCAAAATAAATCCTATTTAGATCAAATAACTGAAGATTACAATATAAAGTAACTTTTAATCAGCCTGATTTATTTTATGTAATAATTTATGTAAAGAAAAATTGCTGAAATTGCTCTAAAAGAAAGGTTTTTAACGAGTTCACTATCTAAGCTTCATAACTTTTCAAATCAATGTCGAATCTTTAAATGGTAGAAAAGAAATCTTTCAGAGTATCAAAGATTCTTATATTGTCAAAATAAATTTGATAAATTCCTAAAATAACTAACTCATAAAGAGCTAAAAAAATTCTTAGCCAAGTTTACAAAGCGGACCTCAGTTATTTACGAGAAGATGTAGGAAAAAATCCTTCTCAATAATAATCAGCGATAAAATTCCCAATAGATAAAAGTTGTCCTAGTTGAAGGGAACTAATCGGTAAAATTTGAGAAAGAAAAATATTTTTGTTTAAAAAGTTACGCCTTTAATAAGTAGTAGACACCACCATTGCAAGCGCCTGAGTAAATATTTTCTTTTAAAACTATAGTAAGCATATGTAAGATTATTTTAAGATTTGGCCATAAACAAATTAGCTAAGGAAGCACTTTTCGGCTTTTGGAAACAATGAAATGGATACTCTTCATATGTGCCAATCAGATAAACTTACTCTTGTGCAGATCTCCACAATTTCTTGAGAGCGAAGCATACAAAGGTCTTCTTATTGGCCAAAGTCGTCTGGATGTTTGTAGCTTTTGTTTTCAGAGTAGGAAACTCATAAAAATGTCCATCATTCAAAGCTTCTGTTAGCTTATCTTTGAGTCCTTCGACTTCTCACATTAGTTCATTTCATAGCTTCTCTGTTGTCTCATTAGCTTCATCTTCATACTTATCAGCAGCGAAATCTCTGTACATTTTCAAGACATTCTCCACTAATTCAAGCATCTTAGCGGCATCATTAGGAGGGACCAGACTTTCTCCTCCATTTTCTGCAAAGTCTAAGTCGAAGCAGTCTCCACAGAAGTAGCTCCTCTCCTTCTCCACGTAAACAGAGGCTGTTTGGTGGCATGTATCAGCGTAACACTCGGGGAATTTTGACATATTTAATATTTTAAACAAGAATTCACACAGAACTTATATCGTTTCAGTTCCCTGATATTGGTTGGGGTTTTGGGGTTTTGGGGTTTTGGGG